CTTTTTCATTTAAATAGTTCCCTTGTTGGTAATCAGTTTTATCCTTTCCTTTTCCTGTTAACAATTACCTCATACATTTCAACTCTTTCTCCATCTTCATCATCATCTTACTTTCTTACCTCCTATCATCACAGTTATCATCACTTATCTTCATCATAATCATCATTATCTTTATATCATCATTTGCAATGTGCCAAGTTAAAAGTAGCATTTTAAATGATATTTACTCATTTCAATTGATAAAAGGTATTTACTTTTGCTTCTAATCCTGGACAGCAATTAGATAAATTTTTCTTGCACAATTATCATCAAATTAGTGAAACAATCAATTTGCTAATTGTTTTGTTTTTCCGATTTGTTTACTTGTATTGATTGTTTACTATCAATCTTGCAATTTACTTAATGGTCAGTATATGATAAGAAATGATAAATATGATGATGAAATTATGAGAGAGAGAAAGAAAGAGAGAGAGAGAGAGAGAGAGAAGGTCGAGAGATTTTCGCTCTCGTAATTAGGCTCGTAAAAGAGTCAAGTTTATGGTCAATTTATGGTTTGACCTTAGTAAAAAAAGATCATATAAACAAGGACCTCACTGATGAAAAGGGAGGAGGTGGTGGTGGAGAGAGAGAGAGGAGGGTGGATATGTTACATAGAGAGAGAGAGAGAGAGATAATAGTGAGTATCAGTAATAATAATGGTATTACTGTATTATGTATGAGTATTATTATCATCAGATTATGATCACTCCTCTGACCTTTTGTTGACCTTTGGTCATGATCGATTTGTTCAACACTGTTGTTGTTCAATCAAAAAAATACTGTAAAAATATAAAACACCATAGACTTGACCAGGGGAAAAAAATACACAAGATGATAACTTTATATTATTATTATCATCAGCAGGTTGATACATTAACCAATTAAAGATATTGATGAGATTAGAGCCTTCCGGTCATTAAGAGGATGAGTGGTCAGCAAGCAAGCAAGTGTGCAGGCTATTTAGTAACCAGGATCGGGTCAAGTAGCCTGAAGAGTGAGTGAGTGAGAGAGAGAGAGCCCAAAAAAGAGATGAAGATGACTAAAAAAAAGAAAGAATAAAAGAGAGAGATGAAAGATAAATGGACCTTGGTCACCTTATTCTGAATCAGAAAATCCTGTTTACTTGTGTTTAAAGTTGCAAAAAAAGGCGGACTCAAACTGTTAACTGTGAGGTTCCCTGTAGAGAGAAGGTCAATCCAGGTCAAGAAAAAGACGAAGATGAAGATGAAGATGAGGAAGAAGCTGTAACAAGGGATGAAGAGCTGAAAGTGGATAGAGAGAGAGAGAGAGAGATCTGCAAAAGTCTAACGACTCCCCGAAAGTTTTAACTACGTCGAGGTTGAAGGTTACAATGAATATGATATTGCAAAGTGAATATAAATCTATGGATAAAAAATAATGAACAGAGAGATTCATTGAATGAGAGAGAGAAAAAAAATCTGAAGATAAATTGTCATGGGCTGAGTTTCTTTTTTTTGTTTTGCAAAAACAATTTTTCTCCCTCATCATGAGATTATGTTGATATGCTTCTGATGCAGATGATGATGATGTTGATGATTATGTCTTGTCGTTGTTGATGCATTTTCAATGTTGACATTAAAAGTACTTTTCACTATTTTCATTTTATCCTCATCTTCATCTTCATCATCAGTGAAGCTTTTTAACTTTTCTGCTAATAAGTTTCATCCCTAAAATAAAAGCTTGGGCATTGGTTGTTAATGATATTGTTGCTTTGGTCACACTTAAGTTCATCCTCATCTTAAATCACCATTTCCATCATCTCTCTCTCTCTCTCATCATTATTATGCATGGAAACTCAGGTTAATGCAAAATCTGTGGGCGATTCATGTTGCATCAACACCTATTCTCACCCACCCTCCCCCTGGATCCTTCTGATTTTTTCATATTCTCTCTCTTTCTTTTCAATTCTGTCAACTTTCATGATTGAATGTCACTCTTTTTTTTTCTTGAAAACTCTTGAAACTTTTTATAAGGTCACCAAGAAACGATTGAGAGAGAGAGAAAGAAATTCACATATATGTATATAGATTAAGGGTGAGCAAAAAAGTGAAACTTTCAGTTGATTTTTTTTCTTCCTCTCCCTTAACTTTATTCACTTACCTGTCATCAGTCTTCCATGAACTTCAAGGTTCCAAAAACAAGCATAAGAAAAAGATGAAGATGATGAAGTTGATGAGATGAAAAAAAGATGAACAATCACTTCCCCGGTCTTTCTCTCTTTCTCCCTCCTTTATCTTCATCTCTCTCTCTCTTTAAATGGTCACTTTCTTACCTTTCCTCTCCAGGATTTACCTGGAGCCTGGACCTAAAACAGTTTAGTTTTATAACAAGTTACCTTTTTATTTAAATAATAATCTGTAAACATAAAGGTATCACCAACACTCTGTATCTACCTGTTATCATCACAATGATATAATATCAAGTGTGATTGCATTTTGCAAAAACAAAAAGCTTAATATGTGATAATAATTTATTGTTTTCTGCATCATTTGCAAAAGTATCAACACTTTATGCAAACAATTTGCTGTGAAACCAATGAAACTTGATCAACAATCAAGAGATAAACAATCAAAGAAAATTAAATTAACAACAATCATTTGCATAGTTAATATAAATACATGGATGGTCAAGTTTGTTCATGAGTCGTGTGTGTGTGTGTATTTGTGTGTTTGGAACATCAATTATCCCAATTGATTATAGTGATGCTTTTAAAGTTTTAATGTTCACTCAGAGGGGGAAAGAGGAAAGATCTTGAAGATGAACAAAAATGATCATGAAGAGATGATGATAATGATGATGAAGGGCTAAAGGTATAGAAGGAGAAGAAAATAAAATAATAATAGTAAAAAAAAACAACAACAACTAGAAGATGATTACAGATGAGGAGCCTCGGTCATTTTGGCCTCAAGGTTAATCTGATTTTGGCGCGATCCATAACTCATCATAGCTGCAACTTGATAATATTAAAGTTTTTCCATCGTCTCTCTCTCTCTCTCTCTCTTTTGATGATGATGATGATCATCATCATCATCTAATTTCATCTCCCAACATCATTTTCCAACTTGATCTCTCTCAGTGTTAGTGTGAGTGTGTAAGTCTTATAGTACATTAAAACCACTACCATTTACTATCACTACTACCATGTACTACTGAGCCCAGGCCAGAAAAAAGGCCCGGGCAATCACAGTACAAGGCTAGTTAAAGGAAAAGTAAGTGGAGGAGATGAAGATGGAGATGAGGATGATGATGATGTTAAATAAACGATTGAACTGGGAGAGAGAAGAGAGAGAGAGAATAGGGAAGAGTGACCTCCGATGGAAACGCTGAGCCTGGGCAAGGCTTGTCACAAGAAAAAAAAGAGGAGAAAAAGAGAGATGAAAAGAAAGAGAGAAAGAGGAGGAGGTAGAGGGAGAAAGAGAGAGAGAGAAAGAAAATGATAGAGAGACAGAACTACAGTTTGCAAAAAAAAAGTCTTGATAAAATACAGTAAAACATTTGAATAAAAATGAGTCACCTTAGTGAGTTTAAAATGATGATGATGATTAGACTATTGAAATTGAACCGATTGGTGAAAATGAAGATGAAAATTTCAATTTTCTAATCAATTGGTAAATTTAATTTCATTATAATCATCATATGATGATGAGGTTTTCATGATTATCCTCCCCATTCTTAATCATAATCATCATCATCATCACAATCAATTCAATCTTAATCTTGTTGCCACCTTTTCATCAACTTTTGATTATTATTAATAACAATTTACATTGGAAAATGCAAATGATGTAAATCGTTTCCAACTAAATTCAGTTCACTGATCATTCCATGTCAACAAGTACTAATAATGATTAACATTTACTCAATTTAATCAGCATCATGTTAACTAACATCATCATCAACTTCATGGTTCAAATTTAAATTATCACAATCACAATTTAAATCACATTTGATGCAAAAACTGCAACAATCAACACAGATACAAATTCATTGTGATAATTAAATGTTTCCGCTTGTCCAGTTACATATAAATATAAATTAAATTGTCTATAGCAATTTAAATGATCCAATAAACTGTCAATTTAATCAAATTACAATTAAACTTAGTTCAGGTTAATTGTTAATTAGTTATTTTCATCTCTAGACAATAAGAGGAAAAAATTAAGAAAAAAACAAGAAACGGAAATGATGATGATGATCATCTTAGGATGGAGATTGATTTTTTTTGTCTTCCTCATCTTCATCTTATCCTCTTGGTGATTAATTACTGGCTAATTAAATTGTATCGAAATTGTCATTAACAATCAATTTATCATTATCAATAAGTCACAAATGTAATCATGTTTTTTTGTTGTTGTTGTCATTAACAAAAACCTCTCGATGTATTTGATTAATTATCAACCAGTACGATTTAATTGTTTGAATCATTTGATTGCTTAACATTTATAATCAGTTAATTATTGTTTCAATTGTCAACCAGAAATTAACAATGATGACAATTTAATAAATTTGCTAGTTTAATATCTTTCAATGGATCTTAATTATCCCTCTCAACAATCAGATATTTAATTACTACTATTGAAAGCAAATCAAAATCAGTTTTCATCTAAAACAATTAACAATCAAGTGCAAACCATTTATACTTAATTGTCAAAACGATTATGATGTGATTAAGATTAATGATTATCGATGATAAATAATCTGAGATTGAAATTAATTATATTGGAAATGATCGTTACCTCTTAATTGTGGTAAATTGTTAACCATTAAGGTTAATCAACAATAAAAGAAGGTAAAAGTTTTAATCAAATTGTTATTGATTGTGAATTTAATCAATAGTAATTGTTGATTTAATCACAACAGAAAAAATCACCAGATTGATAATGAAAAAGGGAGACAATCAATTTGAGTATCAACAATTAACTCATTTTTTGACAATCAATTGTGATACATTATTATTATTAACCAATAGTAGTTACAATTAACTTTGTAGTGTTGTTTATTTAATTGTGTGTGATTTGGCTTGGCAATGAAAATGAATTTCAATTTGCTAATTGTGTCTTTATTTTTAATTGTTTACTCAGTTAATTGTGAATTAGATGCTGATGATTGTCCAGAACCAGAGTTAATTAAACCCTGTCATTGTGATCGTGAAGGATTATCTTGTTTCAATGAATTAACCGAAGACAATTTAGCTAAAGTGTTTCAAGTTAATTCACAATTTAAAGCTTACCGGTCAGTTTGGATTACCCAGAATCCAATTAAACAATTAACCGCCAATATATTTAACGGTTATCGAGTATTTAATTTCCTTATTGAGGAAAATGATTTGGAAACAATTAACGAAGATACTTTTTCCGGTTCCTATCCAATAATAAAAGAAATGAGTTTATATAAAAATAACATTTCCTATTTTCCTTTCCAAGGTAAGTTGATAAAATTACAATTACAATTAGAACGACAATTAAGAAATTTTCATTCAATTTAATCAACAACAATATTCACACACACACACACTCACAGAACTACAATTAATGACCAGTTTGGAGAAATTAAGTTTACAATCAAATCGATTGACAACAATTCCGGCCAACAGTTTCTCCCTTGCACCCCAATTAAAGCAAATCGATTTAACCAACAATCAGATTGATTCAATTGCTCCTGGTGCTTTTTTTGGAATGAAAAATTTAGAGATAATTTTACTTTCCAATAATCGATTGGAAAAAATCCCAGCATTGGCCTTTGGTTCAATACAAACTCAATTCCAGGTAAAGATAATAATTTAATTGATGAAACAATGAAGATGAACAATTAACATGAGAGAGAGAGAGAGAGAGAAAGTAAATTGAATTTTCTATTGTGTATTTGAAAGTATCAATGGTTAATTATTTCAAATTAGCTTAATCAAATTGAACCTTGGTACTTGTAGGCTGTAAATGACACCAAGTGATAATAAATAGATGATAACTAATAATCATCACCACTAATCAGCACAATTCAGATGATGAACATGATGGAAAAGCTATTATTTCATTGTTTTTTTGTTTTCTCCTTCATTTTTTGGTTCTTTCAATGATTTTGTTGATAATTATATTGAGAGATTGATGATGATGATGAGAGAATGAGTTTTCACCAGATTAACCGTTTTCTCATCATCATCATCATCATCATCATCTTTCAATTGAATCATCTCAATACATTGAGACAGACCGATTACCTTGAAAACATTTTCATCAATTCACATTTATCAACAATCATGCTAACAATTTTCTAGTATATTAAATCAACAGCAACATTTATATTATCAATAATGATAGTTATCCATGGATATTAACAACATTTTATTGGATGATGGTGATGATGATGATAATTGAAGATGATGTTAGGATGGTCAGATGAAAACAAAAAGAAAAGTTAAATCCTCAGATAATTAGATCAGCTCTAAATCTTTACCATTCACTTTACATCCTGATCATGATGACCCATGGTCATTATCAGTTTACCGTTAACAATAAAAGTTTGGATAATAACATAACAACAGTTAATAACAAAACTGTTTACCTACCAGAGAAAATGTTGTTGATATAATATCGGAATATGAATAAACACCAATGGTGAAAACCAGGATAAAGATGGTGATACAAAGTCAATAGAATAAGTGAAATGGGAAAAAAAGATTCTCTTTTCTTCAATAGAAAATCAAGGTTAACACTCTTACCTTCATGAAGATGAAAAAGAAGAAGAAGATGATGATGATTAAAAGAGATAATATAATATTAAGCACAATATTATTCGAACATTGAATTTTCTTTATTCTTGTAGAACTTTTTCTCTCTCTCAACCAGAATTATCCCTTGTGGCTAGTTAAGTTTATTTTTATTCGCGTTGATATAAATATTTACTCCTCATTATTAGATTGTTGCTCATATTATATCCAGAATATTACATAACGGAAGCGGAAATGTCGCTCCGGAAATCAAATTGAATGTAAAGAAAGAGAGAGAGAGAGAGAGAGTGGAAAAAGTTTCATTAGAAAAGGAAAATCTCTCGGTACGTTCGAGGTTTCGATGATTCGTTTTTTTTTCTTCTTCTTGAACTTTAACCTTTTTCCTCAAAGAGATTAATATTAATAACTGTTTCTTTTCTAATAATAATCCAATTCTCAGATTGATCTCTCTGGAAATGAAATCAGTTTCATTGATCCAACAGCATTTTCGGCCTCACTTCCGGCGGTCATTTCCTTAGCCGATAACCAGTTGACTTTCCTTGATCCGAATGTATTTAAAACCCCAATACAAATTGGGTCAACTCTGGTTGTTCCTGGTAAGTAGATTAACTAATCTCATCTCTAATTAACTTTTCCATCATTTTGAAAAAACGAGAGAGAGATGATCACTTGATAATCTCAAATTACATTCCCACTAAACTTTTTATTGTTTACTAATCATGATGATTAAAGCTAATCATGGTCACAGTATTAATCCTTGTGATTAAGACAATCACTTACATAAGATAATGATTTGAGGAGCAAACAATTAATTGTTATATAAAATGATTGCTAAAATTATCGCGAAATTTGATTCACAACAATTGATTGTTAATCATCAGATTTCAATATAAACAATTTCATGATCACGTTTACAAATTAATTGTTTCTCAACTCAAAACAAAATAACTAATTTTTTTTACGAGAATTAATCAAGTTAATTGTTGTCCATTCTTTAATTGTTCAACAGGTAATCCATTCACATGTAAAGGCTGTTCGGACTACCGATGGCTTCTGTCGGTGCGATCAACACAAGTCCAAGGTTTCCAATGTTCAAGTGGACGGAAACTCTCAGAACTCAATTTACTCAACATTGGCTGTTTATTTTAATTGTTCCACAACAATTAACTTAATTGTTTCATGTTAATAGAGTTTAAATTTGACGTATTATTAGACATTATTAAGGAAGTAAAAAGAGAATGAGAAAAGTTCAATAAACAAGATAAATGAAAAGTCTGAGGAAAAATTAATTGTGAGAATGAACAATTAAATAGGTTGAATAGATTGAAAAGGAAAATTAAACAATTACAATTAACTAGAATTAGAATTTGGTTATTTTCTTTGTTCGCTTGTGAGGAAAAAAGTTCTGAAAATCAGAGTAATCGATAAATTGAACTAGAAGTTTTCTTCGTGTTTCTGGATAACTGTAAATCTATCTCAAGGTGAGAATAATTTTATTTATGTAATATAAAGGTAACGAATTGAGGTAATTTACTTCACCATGGTGATACATTCAACCGATAAAGTTTTATATCTATCGGAATTGATGAGAATAGGAATTTTCCATCAACAATGGAAAAACTCAGACAGATTGATTGATATTAATCAACAGAGATAATGATGATTCTCACCAGAGGATCAGCAATGAAAATGATGATAACATATAAATAACAATAACCAACCAACAATTTAAATGATCAAATTATCCTGAATATGAAATTACATGAGATTATCTGAAAATCCTTCCATTTCATTTCATATTGTATTTTATTCAGTTATATTTCATCTCATTAGATGAAAACTGTTACTGCTCAATGGTTCATGATGATGGATCAATATTTTTTTTTTATCATCATCTAAAAGTCAACTTGATATTACATGAAAATATCATGACTTGATATGATTCTGATGCTGAGATTATACCAAGAAGATGTTGATTAAAATGTAACTCAACCTTCAGTTAAAATGAGGTAAATTATTACACTTGAAACAATCAGTTGATCATGATACTGATGATTAAGGTAAGTGTGATAATGTTATAAGAAACTCACTTTAGTTACATATTTATCTTTCATCATGACTTGAGAGATTACATGATGAGTTCAGTGAAACTGAATCAGATGAACCATGAACTATCAGTAAGCTATAACTGTAACTTTATCCTCTCACCTTTTCCCAGTAAGAGAGAGAGAGAGAGAGTGAGTATCTTTCATGATTATGAATATGATGATAGTGTTAACAGATTGATAGTATCACCTGAATGATAACTTGATTCCAAATATACTTTCGACTTGAATGGAAATATGAAAATAAAAGTTCTAGTATCAATAAACTCGAGCCTCGTTCTTGAGAAACTATTTTTCACATTGACTTTCATTTACTATTAATACCAATTGGGAATTGTTACAAGTCACGTTGATGAAACTTTTCTTTCGATTACTTTTTCTTTCGTTATCATAAGTTAACCATTGGTAACATGGGAAGAAAGTTTTTTTTACCGGTAATGGATATCTGATTGTTGAGACTTAATAACATGTATTGTGTAAGAAGATGAAAAAAAAAAGATTCTGATTCATGGTCAGAACTGGAATGGAAATGAATTCATTTTCATCCATTTAATAATGTTTCATATGATATTGTTTTCTCTCTCTCTCTCTCTCTCAGATTTACAACATTTCTTCCCATGTGTTACCTGATTCATCATGAAATGTTACCCTTTCAAGAATTGATCTGAATAAATGTGCCATTTGAATTGATGATATGATTAGAAATAGTTGATGGATTCAAAGATAATTATCATGAGTATGGTTGGATAATGTTCATTCACCTGAACTCATTCAGATTTAGAAAAAGGCAAAGAATAATCTGAAATAAGGATAAATCGTTTTCTTCATGGAATCAATTTTTCAATGATATTTTAAATTGTCATCAATAAACAATTCACTTTGAAAGATATTACTTAATGATCATGGAACTCAGAATGACCATGATACTTTGATGAAAAATTATTGAATTTTTGTTGTTTCAATAATATAAAATCTCAATCAATTACTTTGTCAAGAGATACTCACCTTGAGAGAGTTGATCAAGTTCATTATGATATTAATCAGATTTCCCATTGATTATCATCTTGATCCGATTAATTTTCCACTCAATTGTCACTTGGATTATATAAACAATTCATTAATTACAATTTAATCCCAACACACAATTTGACTTGGGTTTACTCACAATTGGACAGCTAAATTGTTGGATTAACAAACAATCAATTACATTTGGTGTGATAATTTAAACCATTTAATCCGTTTTCTTAATCATTCAGCTAAATCTGAATTCACTTTCATGAAAAGCAATTAAATCCATGACAAACCCATTAGAATAATTAGTTAACTTGCTGAAACAAATAATCAAATTACTAAATTGTCCATTCTCACCCTAACTTATAATCAATTAATTTGAGAAACAAATTGTCCTGAAAAGTTTTTTCATCGATTTGATTAATAAGAAAAACGAACAATTTATTTTGATTAGTGAAACAATTCCCCGAACGGTTTTAATCATAATACAATGAAAAATATCATCAAGTTGATTGTTTCATTTCGGTGATCAATCAGAATTCATCTTTAACTGTAACCTATTGATATACATTAAAATAATATTTCCATTAAGATGGTTGATTAATTATCGATTATTATATTAGCTTAGTAATTAACATGATGATGAACATTAATCTTGGTCTTGATGAAATTTTCTCATGGAAAACTTTCATTGTATCACTTGGACTATTTTCCTTGATTTTTATTTAGCGTTTCATCAAATGACAGAATTATCATGAATCGATACAATTGAACAGTTTCTATCAGATGATGTGGACAAAAACATTCATCGGTTGTAAAAAGTGAGTGAGTGAGAGAGAGAGATATCAGAATAATGTTATCACATCACATGGAGTCGTTGAATCAATCGATGTGGAAATCGATCTGATTTACTTTTATTTCTCAATGATCATTTCTATTAATATGAATCAATAGATTCAATGAACATGAATAAATCCAAATAAGATAATTATTCATGTCAGATTATCTGACATGACACTTTTAGTGGAATGGAAAGTTTTTTTATACTTGTTCCTCTCTCTCTCTCTATTATATTTATTTTATCATGTACACATTGAGGATGTTTTCATGATACTGGTGATTCCGGTGAGCTGAGCTTTATCAACATATACTCTCTGAGTTATATGAATAGTGTGAATTCTGATGAATATAATGAGTCTTGTGGAAGTCTGGAAATAAGAGTTTAGATGTTAATGATGAACATGAACATCACATATCTATCATCACCTTCATCTTCAGGGTGGGGTGAGTCTGGCCCATAATTTCAGTGGGCGGTCAAGATAATATCCATGATAATTTGCTGATTAACAGCATCAGTTTACTCAGATTATTATCATTATCGTGGTAATCAAATGACAATGATTGTGATAATGTTTCCATATGAATCAATTTCATCACCATGAGATTGATTCTCGTTTCAACAAAATATCACTCGAAAACTTTTTCTATGTACAAAAAACTTTCCATTCTAATGGAGCAATTAAACTAATTGTCAACAATACTCATAAATTATGTCAAAATTTTCAATCATCAGCTTGATGATTAACTGTTGATATAATCAGTTATCAATGATGAGTATTAGTTGTTTAAACAATTAATTCAATTGCAAGTTCATTCACGTTTTTTTTAGATTATTACAAATCTAATCTATTATGGATCTTTTTTCATTTTAACAATTAGTTAATTGCTGAATTTTATCTTGATTCTTAATGAGTTGGAACAAAAAATGGACCATTTTATCAGTCATTTGTTGCACAATAATGGACACTAATTAAGCAAAACTTGTTTAATTGTTGGACAACAGGAAAAGTGATCACCTAAACCATTTAATTATCTTCACCAAAAGGGACACAATTAACAATTAAAATATTAATAGACTCTAATGTCAAATAAATAACTAAAGATTACGAAAAGATAATTATTATCCTGAACATGAAAAAGTTCATGTTCATGAGGATTAGAGTTCGATAACAAAAGTACATGAGAGACAGAGATAGAAAACTCGAAAATCATTAATCATCAGCCTATTGTTATGTTAATTATCAAGTTTACATCCACTGGACAATAAGAGTGACCACTGAATGAACTACAATGAATGACAACTTTCATCTCCTTCATTGAAATCCATCATGATACCGAAAAAAAAACAATTTAATCCTGTTCATTATAATAACTAACTGAGTAAATCATGAAGATACTCAAGATATGATGATTATGATCATCGAAAATATCATGATAGTAATCTTAATCATTCTGTCAACAGTCATTGTTATTATTATGGTGAGCAACTCATTATTATCAAATATCAGTTTGAGGTAACATTATTATTACACCTTAATATGATTAAGCCTGAAATATGTTAACCACAAGGTTATATTGTTATTGAAATTCTGATAATATCAGCATCATGTTAATATCATTGATCATCATCATCATCATCATCATAACAATTTCGTAAGCCTATTGATTCAGATGATGAAAGATTGGACATGATTGAAAGTTGACATTATTAGATATTCAAATTTAACTTTAATGGTAATCATGAAACTGGGAATAAATTTTTCATTTCATTTAGTTGAGTTTACTTTCAACATGATCCATGATTACTCGTTGATTGTTTACCCTGTAAATCAGCTCAAAGATGAAATAATAATAATAAAAAACTTTTAGAATTTAACTAATCACCAAATTCAGATTCTGTTCTCAATTCAGATTATTCAGATCTCTTGATATTGTCTTCTATTCTGGTTTCAAGGTTGATCTGACTCATGTGCTGTTTGTTGATGAAGCAACATGATGATAACAGCAAAACAATGATCTCCATCAACCATGTAAACCTGATTAACCTCTGGTCATCTTGTTTAAAGGTAAGTGATGACCAATGTTTGCTTTTGATCAAATTTTCAGTATCAACATGGTGAAATCAAATCTGATTCTGAGAGAGAGAGAAAGAGAGAGAGACAAAACAAAAGTTAAACATGAAACATGGGATTTCAATGTTTTTTTATTCTGTTCCATCAGCTAATAACCAACTCTCATTGTTTTTATTATAATAACAAGGTATCGATTATCAATTATTGCAAAATCAATAACGAGTATTACCTTTTTTTTATCATGATAAGTTTATCAGAAATGATGATTTTACAAAGGAAATGCTAACAATATAATATTGACTCTTATTTGACTTTCGGGACACACTGTACTTTATGCTAATAGTAAACAATGAAGTCATAATATGTTTTCATTCAGTTATATGATACATTCATTATTCCTATCATACAGATATTGCATTTTCTTCAGAATCTAACCTCAAATGCTATCGTTAGCATTATTATTATCATGGTAAAGAGACTGAATATATGACAAACAGGGAGAAGAGAGGGAAAGAGAGAGAGAGAGAGAGAAATGTTTATGGTTGAAAATGGAGAGTCAAATTTTCAGGAATCTCTCTTGAGTATCTCTGATAAAGAATAGGAAATTCAGCAAATTTTCATGATAACTTTTTATGGTGACATTTTGAATACACGAAATGTTTCAGGGATGAGAGAGATGATACAACCAAATGAACTGATTTATATATATTATGATTAAATGTGATCTATTATATAAATAGTATTGGTTTAGAGAAACGAGTTAGTGTTTGGTTCATTTTTCCCATGAATTATTTTTTACTATCTACTTGTTAATAATTCATGATTAATCAAAGTTGATTAGATATATAAACAAGGAAAATTCCATAATAATTTATTAGAATCATATTCTGTCAATTTCTCACAAGTTTACATGTTAGTTTATCACCGAGAATGTTTGAGTCTCGAAATTGATAAATAGTATCAATGAGATTGGATAAAAATCAACGAATATCTTGTTTTGATCAATTAACATGCGTATGGAACTTGTTGAATAAAAGTTATGAATGAGTAAGAACCAATGGAATAATTAGATGGAGAAGATATTCTCATATCGATATTATTATTAATATAAAAGAGAAAATAAAAACAGAACTGGAAGAGAGAATTATCTTCAACTAAGAATAATTATCTCTTTGGTTTCTTTCTTATGATATTTTGACTCTTTCTCTCTGGGAATGGTTAAGAAAAAGATATTAGCTTGTGCGCATTTTGTTCAGAAGTGGGAAGAGAGAGAGAGAGAGAAAAACAAAATTCTGACTCACTGAGTTTCACACAAGTTTTACCATGAAATTCATGAGATCCTAATAGTTTTCATCTAACCACCAACAACATTAGATGTGCTCGAACCATTCAACTGAGCACAACGATAAAGTTTAAGGAAATAGAAAATAAGTCGAAAGAGTTGAAAAGTTTTCGAAAGAGAAAATAACAACAACAAAAAAGTTCTAAACCACGTTCAGTGTATTCAATTAATGGATAAAAATTATCTCCATAATGGAAATCTAATGATGCTGAGTATCATATCTCCTACTGTTAATACAATAATTAACAGCTCATTATATTTTCATGGTAATCATGATGACAATCGGGTTAATAACAACATCGATTCAAGTAACATGATCAACAATAATGTTTACAATTCAGTGGACTGGACAAGTGGATCATCATCAGCGTTTTCAATGATGACCACAACATTGAACTCCAATAACCATCAGCCCATTAATCATCTCAACATAGGAATAAGTCATGAAAATGAAAACGGAACTTCAACCACTCTCACTGAGCTCAATCAACTTAACGTTCTGGAAGTGACATCGTATTTGTGTCTATTTTTCCTTGGAGCTCCGGCCAATTTGATCGTTTTTTACAATATCTTCAAAAATAGTGCCTACAAACGAACTCGAAACGAATTTCTTTTATCCAATCTTGTAATCGCTGATTCAATTGTCACTTGTCTCATGATACCTTCAGAAATCATGTGGAGATTCAGTATAACTTGGATCTATGGTGTTTTCGCTTGTAAAGTGTTCCAATTTTATCGTGCCCTTGGGATCTATTCATCTTCGTCGATTCTTGTTTGTATCTCAATCGATCGTTTCATTGCCGTAATCTATCCGTTCAAGTACACTTCATGTGCCCAATTGGTGCATAAATGTGTTACCTGTGCTTGGATTATAAGTATAACTGCAAGTTTACCTCAGGTTAGTTAATAAGAAAAAAAGAATTCACTTGAAAAAATTTCATCAGAATCAAAGATTGACCATGGAAGGTGAAAATTTACTTATTACTTTGTGTCGACTTTTTCTCGTCTTTCCTGTGATATTTTATTCTGATATTTACTCATCAACTCGAACCAGGGAAATTAAAAGACTTGAGAAAGTTTCTTTTACTTTCTATCCAATTCATTACAGTTTTTTTTGGATCAATTATTCATGATAATCATTATCATGATCGTCTTTTCCTGAGTGAACTTTCATTTTCTCCTCTAACATTTGAATTTTGTTTTTCAAACAACAAGAAAAAATGAAAGATAAAAAGATGAAACTTAAAAACAATTTGATGAACTTGATGTGATTATTATTCACTTTTAACGATAATCATTCTCATCAATTTTATTTTTATTATTATCATCAGAATATATGGAATATGGTTTGATAGTTTTTTCTTTGTGTAATTGTATTGATGGAACAATAGACCAAATTATATTAGCATTCGGAAATATTATCATGATGAATTCAGACTATTATCAATTCAGCTCCAACAATTGCTACTGAAATGATTGATAACAGGATTTCAAAATGAATGATCAATAAAATCATCGTCAGTTTTTTCTTCTTCACCATGTAATTCATTTTCTCATGATTTTATCGAGTTATCATGAGTTATTATATCTTCGTCTTAAGGTTTACTTTTGAAAAAAAAGCTCGAAAATTACTTGGTACATTTTTTCTCTCACTATGAACAGTTGAACATGAAATCCAAGTTTTTTTTTCTTCTAATTCTCTGTTGAGATGAACAAAAAGTTCTGCTCTTATCTTTACATTTAGTAAGAGATTCAGTTATCTTTATCATGATCATCATGATCTTTTCACGAATGTACGTGTATCTATCATTTCTCTCCCATTATCATGGTTAGAATCATTTCTTTTCTTTCATTTAGTATTCCAGTTGAACTTTTCGATCGAATTTTATTTTTTCATCTATTGTTTCACTTTTTTTGTTCGAAAAAAATGTATTTTTATGAATAAGAATGAGGCCATTTGATTGTTTGACGAAATCTTGGTGACATTTTTCTTAGAGAATCGGCATCAATTCTGACAAAGTTAATACTTTTTCCTTTCTCTCTCTGAACATCCGAATATTCAAATCTTATTGGACTTTGAAACTTTATTCACACTCAAGTATCCAAAATTTCAACCTCCTTCTGATGCTGAAGATCATCATGTATTCATGGTTAATATTTATAACCATGAAATTGATAACATGATGACAGAATGTAAATATGAAAATTGAGAGAAAAAAGTTTTCTATGAAAAACAATAAACATTGTCAACAATGAGCTTCTCATGGAATCTTCAGCATTCAGAATATCATGAATCAAATTATTCGAATAGAAAACAAAAATTGTTGATAATTGACCCTGAAACTTGACAGTAAAAATCTTCTCAGAAGAGATAACTGCAGATTCCCATGAAAAGTTGACGATTAGATGTTATAAGGAAAAGAGAAGAGAAAAAAAGTTCCAAAAAATAATATTCTTTCCATACACAAATCGATGTTCATTCAACTCATCTAACTAATAAGATAAACAGAATCATGATGATGACTATTATCGTAATTCTGTTATAATGGTTGTTGACATTCAAATTATACAGCCACGGACATTAAGTTTCGTACACTTTCAATTAAAGTTGCGCATAGAGTTGGTTATCTAATCAATTTTATTTATCAATTTCATTTAATCAAAATCTTGTTGGAAAACCATCTTGCTCTATTACATCTTGCAGTCTTTGGGTAGTGAATCAACAAAGGACTTGAAATAGTCACAATTATTTTTTGAGTCCCAATTTAGCTTAATATTCAATTTCATTTCATCAATAGAATCAATTGAACAATTAGAATATAAAAATTCATATTTAAGATCACCCAAACGTTTTCAATAGGGTTGAGATCAGGAGGTAGCGGGTAGGCTCAAAAGCGTTACATTGATCTGATGTAACGCATTTTTTATTCAAACCATTCACGAACTAACGAAGATCGATGAGCGGGACAATTGTCTTCAACCCAAAAGCATTCGTTAGTCCCAAATCTTTCCTTATTAATTCAACACCAACCGTGTCCAAAATTTCTACATAAGTTTGTCCGTTAATCGAATCAAGAAAACGAATGGACCTAATCCTGAATAAGCTGCTGCTCCCAAATTGAAACAATTTTACGGCACAATGATCAGATTGATTAACATAACTTCCGTTATAACGACAGTTTCTAGGCCTTTGACTAGTTTTATTCCATCTTTCTCACTACTGAAACAACATTCGTCAACGAAGATACACTTCGTCCAATCGAACGATTCGTGAACCATTGCGAACTCAACTCTTCGTTGACGATGTTGAGTCTTAAGCTTACTTTGTAGCCGCATGGTGAGTCTTATAGCCTTCTGATCTCAAAACCTATGACCGTTCGGGGCGTTACAATTGAATCTAATTCGTTGTTAATTTTAGTAGAGTTTAAACGGATCTTCGATCGTTTCAAAAGAATCGACTCTTTTAGATGGCCATTCAATATGAAAGGCCTCTTACAGTTAGAGTAAAATGTGTTCAAATGTCCACGTTGATTGTATCTCATCCTCCATCCTTGAACCGTTGATGCTGGTAAGTCCAGTTCACTAGCTATCTCTGACACTGAAACCTTGTGATGTTAAATCGATGATTTTTAAACGCAGATCATTTTCTAGAGCCCTGGGCATCACTTCAAGATTTAATTTAAACTAAATTAACCAAAACAAAACAAATCAAAATGTAAATAAACCTAATAATCAACAATAGATTATGAAATTTTATCAATTTTGATTAGATAACCAACTCTATGCGCAACTTTAATTGAAAGTGTACGAAACTTAATGTCCGTGGCTGTATATAATAATTGTCACCAATGATGATGATTAAACAATTGAATTCTTAGTTGTAGTTGACATATTGATTTGAATGAATATCAGAACTTTGTTTGTTGGAATGCTAAGAATCACTTAGAACCTGGAATTCTGAGGATTTAGTATATGAGAGGAGAGAGATATTTCCCTGGAAAATGTTATCGTTTTATTCAGAGGGAGAATAGATTTTTATATCTGTGGGGGAAATTAAGTTGGACAGTGGGTGAAAAGAGTTCGAAAAGGTTTAAATATCGAAATTGTACAGAGAGAGAGAGAGAGAGAGAGAGAGAGAGAGAGATCGAAAAAAAAGTTTCGAGAAAAAGTTTGAAACATAAAACATTGTTCTTGTTTTTTAAAAACAAGAATTGTAACATAATAAGTTTGATCCTATGAACTTTTTCCCCTGAGCAAATTCAGAACAAGATGAACAGTCTTATCACTGGAAACATCCACAGGAAAACATTGTCCCCCTGTAACCTCTGTTTCCATCACTTTTTTACTCAACTTTCAATATATAAAACAACAGCTGAAACCTCAAACATATCCCGAGGCGATGATTGTTTCACTCAGATTAGATTTTCATTGTCACCAATGAAAAGAATTTACATTTTATTTATTTATCGGTTTATTTTTCCATGAGAATAAAAATATATACACAAAATATATCGGAAACCTGGGGAATATCAGATATCGCATGTGTATATAACGATTGATTATATAATTGGCTCTCAGGATAAACTGAACTGTTGACAGTAGAAAGAGAGAGATAAAACTGAACAAAGAATTCAAATAACTTGAAACTTATAGATTCTTAAGTTTTCCTTGGAGCAGTTTTCTTCATTTCTCTGGAAATTTAGGGAAACAAACTAGAGAAATAATAAAGTGCTAAGAACTTTATCACCGCCTCAGCTTTTTATTTCATTATTTCTTTATTTTATCGTTTTAATATTACCAAATATTTATCTAATAAAATAATAAAGGAATAACAATAATCATGGTGAGAGGTAATATCATGGAATGAATGAAATTGGCTTGGATTGATGGGGAGGTGGAAATTACAGTTTCAAGTTGTGAGTGAAATGAAGGGGATGCCGATTAAATTGCTCGAGAATTGAAATAGAAATTGAGTAAATTCAATCATTTTGTCGGAAATTTGTTCGGTTGATGAAACGTTTCCATGTAACTTTTTTTCTAAATCAAAATCTAAAACAATCATCATGATTATCATCTGAATCTTTTACAGGACACAAGGAGTAATTTTTTCATCCATGTATTGGATAAGAAAAGAGTATCAGAGTAACAAAAATACTTTTCGATTATCAGTCTATTCGTTTGCCTTTTCCTTTAAAATAAAAAGTCATTTTCTCAGAGTCAGAACCTTTCAAACACTCGAACTCCTTAAAGTAGCGACGAGAAAAAAAAAGTTCAATGAAAATAATGGTCTACAAAAATATCTTAAGTATCCCTTTGATAAAACAATAGATTCTCATCTGAACCTAATTTTAACTGGAACATTTTCCTCACCAGAATTGACTATTTGTCAGAATTTTTTTTTCTTCGTCTCCAAGCTCAATGTTCATATTAACCTTCAATCAGAATGAGAAATAAAAAGTAATGATAACATTTTGAATATCAACAATTCACTTGTCTCAATTAGGTGTTGACTATCATCTAACTCAAGGTGAACATTTGACCAACTAGACTGGTCAGAACAATAAACTAAATTTCAACTTGTATTGGTCATTTTTTGAATGGTCAATATCATTTAATTTATTGAAACAATCAATGATTTTCTGGCTCATTATGTTAATCAACGTAATAAGAAAATACCATTCAATCAATTTAATCATAAGACAATCAATTTATTACATAAAAGGTAATCTCATCAACTGACCAATTGATTGTTTACATTATACTATTTACCTTAATTGTTAGTTTTAAATGATTACTGGAAATCTGATTAACCTATTTAATCAATTCCGATTTCAATTGAATGAATGATTTAGTGTTGATCTTTTATCTAATTATAAGTAAAAAGTAATTTAATCAGTT